GGGGGGAGAAAAGGGGGGAAGGAAATGCTAATTATAGTGCTGAAAAAGGAGGAAAAAAAAAAGATTGCCCGAAATTAATGGAACATTTAAAGGAGAAGATTTACGAAAATCCCACTGGCGCTGTATGTACAGTACTATGAATGTATAAAAACTTTCAAAATCAGTAAATTTTGAAGAAATCGGCAATTCCAATATACCATTTGCACTTGTAACTAGCTTTATATGGATTATGAGAACATGGCCTCTGTGTAACGTTCGGGCGGAGGAGGAGCTGGAGCTGAGAGGGGCTCTGGCAGCGGGAAGTGTTCCGGTGCTGCTGCAACACCAAACAATAGCTTCACTTCTTTATTAGTTCAACCACGCAAAAGAAAAAATCAGTTAGTAAGAGAAAACAAACTAGCCCGGGATTCGCCCGGCAGCAGCTCCAAGCTGCCACCGGCACACACAATAACTACAAGCGGTAGCAGCTCCAAGCTGCAGCGACACACTCCCAGATCGCGCAAAACCAAACAGTTACACTGACAATTTCATTCTCAATCATCACATTAAATATCATGGAGGGGGGAACTCGAACCAAGAGATGGGGCGTTTACATTTTGGAAACCGAAGGGGAACTGGACAAGGCGAAGGGGATTGAGGCTCCAACTTCACTTCCTTGTTACTTGCCCCTTCTTCCTTTTACAACATCTGTATAACTGTTATCTCATATGAAAAACTTTTTTTTCAGGCCAATGATGTGGTTGTGATAGATATTGAAACTGGAAAAATAACAGATTACGTGAAATTCGATCAGGGCAATGTATGCATGGTAACTGGTGGCAGGAATATGGGCCGTGTTGGTATTGTCGGCCATCGTGAGAAGCATCCAGGATCATTCGATATTGTGCACGTGAAAGATGCTGTAGGACACAGTTTTGCTACTCGGTAAGCATACGATTGGGGAAGTTGGGAGAAGTACAATGGGGACATTTTTTGAATACAGTGATAATCCGATGAAGCGACTTTTTGCTGTACTGCAACTCTGTTGGTTGCTGTGGCCGAAATTCCATCATTTGGTGATCAGTTATGGCGCTCCTGAAATTCGTTTTACTTTTTCCTTTTTTTATGCGTTTTGTGCTGTGTAACAGCAGTACAAAACGCATATTGTCACGGGGTTGTCTCTGTGTGTGTTTGTGTCCGCAGCAACTTGTCCGCAACTTTCAACTCGGAAACCACAAAAGCTAGAAAGCTGAAAATTTAGGGTAACGTTCTCCACCCACGTGTGACCCCGCAAAAAAATTCAGCTTACCCGCGGGTAACGCGTATGGCCCCGTGAAAGTTTTTCACGGGTAAGTTAATATCTCGAGAACCACTGAGTCTAGGAGGCTGAAATTTTAGGGCAGTGACCCTCTGCGCACGCTCAACCTTGCCCATTCAAATTCAACCTTCCCTTACTCGCGGGTAACACGTCCAGACCCGTGAAAGTTTTCCACGGGTAAGTTGATGTCTCTGGAATCACGGAGTCTAGGAGGCTGGAATTTTAGGGGAATGACCCCCTGCCTCCGCTCAACTCTGCCCATTCAAATTCAGCGTTCTCGCGCTCTCGGGTATCACCTACGGCCTTGTGAAAATTTTGGCGGGTAATCTATTAACTCGGGAATCACGGAGAGATATTCACCCTTCAAGGTTTCAAATTCAGCTTTCATGCGCTGGAGCGTGAAATTTTTGACTATTTTCCAAAGTTTGAATTATTTTTGCATAGACTAAAGTACAAAGCAGTGAAAGTCATTAATAGGCAATCGTTCGATGGGCTGAATTTGCACGAAACGCATGATCGCATCTGGTCTGGTGCGCGTTGCTATTTATCTCTTTTTTGTGGAATAAAAGGACCATAGAAGGCCAAACCAAAATTGGACGGTCCAAGTAGGGCAGCCGATGGAGGGTGAAATTGTCAAGTGGTTTTTTGCGACCATTGATAGGCCGAACCATACCTTTTGAAGTAACGACCCGTACAAACCAAAGAAAATTCAGGACGGCTGAATTCCTTAAGTTTTAAGAGTGATAGTTGTGTTCTAAGTGTACTGCACTTTTCCCACCCACTGTGTGGTCCTGCGTACTGGTAAGCGATACTTACACAGTTTTTTTTATGACGGATCTGACCGCTGGGAAGAGTTTGGTAGCGGTTATTGATGTAAGCAACAGTACGAGACCTTAGGAGTAGAGTGCTTCTTAGTCGCTCTGGGAGGCCCACATAAACTCGATCCTACTTTTATAGTGTGGTCTCGTCGTCTTCAGACCACCTGTCTTTTGTGTTTTGCTTAGTTTATTATGTAAAGTTTATTATGTAAAGTAAAAGGCAGTACGACCTCAAAGGCCCTGTGAGGGAATGGAAGAGGGTAGTTACCGGGGACCTAAATGTGGTCCGTTACTTGGTCCTTTTTCATCACTGGCTGGCATATGAAGCAGGAATTTGGGGATTGTGAAGACCATAGAGGGACACATTTACTATAACCAACGATATTCACGAAGAGGAGCGGGATTTGGATGTCATAATCACCGGTTTTAGGTGTGCCGCTGTTACATGTTTATTAAGTGCTCGCTTTTAGAAACCAGAATGATACATGAAGCATTTTTACAAATATTTTTAATAAAATCAAGATTTTTTAGTTGTCCTGGGCGATTTAGCATTTTTTATGGGCGAGTAAATGCACTTTTGAAAACTGAAACAGAAGAAAACCAGTATTTGGTGAAGACGGATAGGTACAGGGGCAAGGGAGGGAATGGGTGGAGGAGGGAGGAGGGAGGCGGGGAGGGGGAAGGGGAGAAGGGAAGTTAATGGACCGAAACATTTCTTACCTAATTTATTACTTGTTTTTACATCTTCCTCGTTTTAAGTCTTTTTTGACCTTTTCTATCATCCATTTCTACATTTTCTAACAAAATTTCCACTTTTCCTTAAAAAGGCATATAGCTCGAAGAGAACCATTGTGCTTAATCAGTGGTCAGCTTATAATTAATTGTAATTGGTATGTTTAGGCTCAACAACGTGTTTATCATTGGTAGAGGGCCGAAAGCGATGGTCAGTTTGCCGGGGCCGACGAAGGGTGTTCGCTTGACGATTGCCGAGGAGCGGGATCGCCGGTTGGCCCAGAAGCGAGCCATCTGAATTTGCTTATCGTTAATTTTGTTCTGTTTGTTAATTGCAGAGTAAAAGATACACTTTGATTGTTATTTGTGCTTTATGTTGCTCAGCCTGTGTTACCTCTATCACAAGGCACCAAGCCTTCCGGATGCGTGAGATTGTGTTTGAAACTGTGTTAATTTGTAAGGGAATGTTTCTAGAATTCTGAAACTGTCAGACATTCATAGTTCGGACATTGTTGGTTTAGGCCTGATAACTCTGCCTGCTATTTTGGCCAGTACCACATTTGCACGGCGGCTAACCTGCTGGTGAATTTCGTTCCCTGTGGGGTTTGCGGACTTAACAGTGCTTTCTCGCATTACCTAGTAATTTTTTATCCGTTCCATTTGTAGTTGTGTGTGTGCGTGTGTGTGTGTATGTGTGTGTGTGTTTGTGTGTGCGTGTGTGTATGTG